ATTCCAAAATTTCCAAAATTATTTCTGTACTGAATGTTTTATGAGTTAAAGAACTACATTCCAATAGTAGTCATTTAATTTGTTCATTCACAATTGTTTATTTATTATGGCAATACTCACTATTGTGAGTTGGATGGATTGTGTATTCACTAAATCATAGCTAAGTCACACACCGTTTGTTAATTTGTTATCCACTGCTTTTCAAACTGTATGAATGGTAAACTAAATGAATAAGAAAATATTAACAATCAGAATGAAAAGGAAGAAGAATAAGGAGGAAAAGATGAACAAGACAAGATTTAAAAGAAAGCGACAACCTTAAAATGTCCAAAATCAGGAGGAGTTTTATAATGCCTCAAAATGAGCGGAACATTCTTCTATTTATAAGAAAGGGTAAACGGATTTTCATTGAATTTTCCGAATTCCTTTTCCCAAATATCGCATCATTGCTATTTCCTTGCTCAGAACTTTCCAAATAAATTGGGTCTTGCCATTATGTGGGAGCTAAATGAAAAGGTGTAGCGATTACAAATTTTTTTTATGGGGAATTGAGGTACCTAAGTTACCAAATTGGAACTAATTCCGTTCCAAAAAAATGATCAAAATTTTCAGAAGACCTAAAATTTACCTGAACTGTTATGTGGGGACTATCATTATATGGGGACTACACCAAAACCGATAGCGGTTTCGAATGTATACAATTGTAGATCAGTTTCGTGATATTATACCCTAAGTCACATGGCTAGAGAGGGTATTTCTCATTTAATACGTCCAAAACGTGCCTCATCGAAATAACGTTTCTAGACTCTAGGTCTCTTTGGATAAAATCCGTTTCAGGGCAGATGTCCGTCTGTCTATATATCTGCCTGTCTGCCTGTCTGGTGCGTACGATAACTCTCGAAGGAAGTATCCGATTTGATCCAAACTTGGTACATCGTAATATTATTGTCAAACTTAGATCGAGTTCGGAGATGGGCAATATCGGTACACTCCTTCGGGTATCTCCCCCTCAAAAGCTCGAAATTTTCAAAAAAAAAAAATATTTTGCTGCACAGAAAGAGAAATGATAATCCGATTTTGCTCTAACTTTGCAAATCCTAATATTTACATAAGTGCTAGGTCAGGTGCAGGACAATATCGGTCCACTCCATCAACAAATTTTGAATAATTATAACTCCTATAAAATGTAATGTAAGGCTCCGATTGTCTTAAAATTACACACATCAATATTATTAATACAAGGTCTGCTGTGAAGATGGAATACATCGGTCCATTCCTACTGGTATCTCCTCCACAAAAGGGTCACCATTTTCAATGTTCAAGAAGCTCATAAAACACGATATTAACATCCAATTCCACTCAGACTTGGCACATGTTAATATTTTCATTAACACAAAATCTGTTACAAAGATGCTAGAGATCGGACCAATTCTTCTGGTACCTCCCCTACAGATGGTCAACGATTTAAATAACCAAAACGATTATAAAATCCGAAAAAAAACATCCGATTCTCTTTGTATTTCACACATCCCATTATTTCTACTAGCATAAGATCTTCTGTGAAGAAATGGATATATCGGTATACTCCTTCTGGTACCCCCCCCCCCCCCCCCCCCACAAAGGGTCAACATTTTGAATACCCATGAAACAAGTAAAACAAAAAATAAGCATCTGATCTTCTTCAACATTACACATCTCAATACTTCTACTATCAAATGATCTGCTGTGAAGATGGGATATATCGGTCCCTTTCTTGGACCGAATAGCCATGATGCTTTTAAAACGAGAAATTAACATCTGATTCCATTCAAACATGGTACATATCGATATTTCCATCAACCTGGAATAAAGAGGGTAGAGTTCGGACCATTTCCACACGCACCTGCTCCACATAGGGTTCAATATTTTTAAAAACGAAACGCTCAAAGAAATCGAAAAAGCATCCTACTCTCTTCAAATTTCACACATCCAAACGTTTTTGTTAACACAAAAACTGTTTTGAAGATAATAAATATCTGAGAAGCCCTTCTGGTACCTCACCCACAAAGTGTCATAATTGCCAATACCTTAATCTGTCATAACTTGCGAAACAAGTCGGCGATTCCTTGCAACTTTCTATATATAAATTTTTCTCTCAACCAGAAACCTGAATATGGCACTTATGATTTTGCAAAAACTGGATATACAGGGTGAGAAAAAACACTACAACAAAGTCAAACGCCATAATTTGTACATTTTTTTTATTGAATGAAAGCAAAAAATGTCGGAAATAGCATCAATTTCAGAATAAGTTTAGATTTGTTCGAACTGGTCACCATTGGCACGAATTATGACCTTCAAACGGCCAATTAAACCGTCACACCGCCGCCCGAATGTTTCTCTGTGGTATTTTGGCCCATTCCCAGCGAAACGCTTGCTTGAGGCGATAGACACTTTTTTATTTTTAAGTGCCAACCTTCCTTTCAAAAATACTCCAGACACAATAGTCCAGCGGATTGGTATCCGGAGATTTTGGTGGCCATTGTGCGCTGGAAATGAAGCGAGGAACCTCATTTTGTAACCATTCTTGGGTGGCGCGTGCTGAATCCGGTTGAAATGTCAAAAGTTTGCGGGGAAAATGTTTGCGTGCCCAACGCTTTAATACGCCCTCCAGAATATTTTCCCGATAATATTCGGCATTTATTCTTATGCCACGGTCAATTAATATGAGCGGAGAGCGACCATCGGCTGTTATGGCGGCCTACACCATCACCATGGCCAGCGCTTGAATTCTGGTAACCAACCGAAGGTGCACATTTTCAGCTGACCCCTTTGGCAAACAAACTGCTGGACAACGAATGTTTTCTCATCTGAGAAGACCGAATTGGGCCGTTCACAACTTTCGGCCAAGCGAAGCAACTCTTTTAATTTTTTGAGTCTATTTTCTTTCTGTTGCGGTGTAAGTTCTTGCACTTTTTGGAATTTCAATGGCTTTACGCCGAGCTCATTTTTCAATATTTGCCGAATTGAGATATATTCAGTCACGAGCCATGTTTCGGCAACTGCGACGCGGGTTTCGAGTCGCTTCTTTACCTTCCGAACCATTTCTGCTGATGTTGCTAATGTTTTCTTCCGTCCAATTCCTTGACGTCGGCCTACGCTACCAGTATCACGGTAACGAGCAATGGTACGAATCACAAAAGATTTATTCACATTTAAATGCTGGAGGGCTCGAACGATAGCCACTTGTGGTTTTCCAGCCAAATAGGGTTGCCCATATTCGACAGACCCATCTGGCAATAAATATCTGAGAAGAAGCCCTTTGCATATGTTCCCGTACAAAATTCAATTGACGCAAAGAATGTTGCCTGCGGACAACCCTCGTCGATTGGAATGGGCCCAAAGAGTCATGGGTCCGTCGAATATAAGTCTTGTACGAATTAAGCCTTGAAATAAATATGCCAAATTTGATCGAAAACGGTTCAAATATAGCTATAGCTCCCATATATATTGTTCACCCGATTTGTTATTTTTGTCCTCCGCAGCCGTAATATGCACTCTGTAACAACGATATTTGGGAAAATATATTAAATACAGCTCAGAAATAAATTTGCTAAATTTTATCGAGATCGGTTCAGATTTCGATATAGCTCCCATATATAACTTCGTCCGATTTACCTTTTATTGTGCACCAAACGTCTAATATTTGCCCAAATTGGATGAAATTTAGAACTTACGATCGAATTGAGTCTAGAAGCTAGTATGTCAAATTTGGTGAAGATCAGTTCAGATATAGCTATAGCTCCCATATATATTGTTCATCCGATTTGTTATATTTGTTACCCACAGCCGTAATATGCACTCCGTAACAACGATATTCAGGGAATTATATCAAATACAGCTCAGAAATATCTTTGCCCAATTTTATCGAGATCGGTTTCGATTTGGATATAGCTCTCACATATATCTTTATCCGATTTCAAATTAATTGTGCCCCAATACAAGTCCGAATTTAAACGATACAAATGCTTCGACATATTTAGTCCTTTGAACTTTAAATTATAATTATAATCATAGCGTGTATGATTGAATTCTCCCACAAAAAACTTTTAATTGTTATGCGGAGCTCTACTATATTAGCAAAGTGGGGTAGGGCATAATAAAGTCGGCCCTGCCCGACTTAGGATTTTCTTTACTGTGTTTTTTTTTTGAAAATTTCCAATTTCGTTCCATTTGGGTTTAGGGTATTCAAAGTTCGGCCGGGTTGAACTTTGAATACCCTAAACCCAAATGTTTTTTTACTTTTTTTAATACGAATTTCGTAGAATTTCTTATTTTGTAAAACAAAGCAAAATAACAACTTTTGGAACTCTACCCTCCAAACATACATTATTTAGCTGTTTTAGTACCTTTTTAGTACGAATTTCCAAACAACCAACACCCTTTTGATAGATGGCACCCATGGTGTCCCTCATACAAAATTTCACGGCCCTAGCCTTAAAAGTGTAAAATTTAAGTCAAAAGTACATTTAGTACCTTTTTGTAACTTTTAGTACGAATTTCTATAACGCTATCTATTTTTTTCGAATTTCTATTTTTTTTTTCGAATTTCACAAAAAAATTGAGATTTAGAATAAATATAAAATTTCGATCTTTAACTGAAACTGTACAATATTTAGTACCTTTTAGTACATTTTTTGGTGCGAATATCCAAATGACCTACCTTATATAAAACCCAGATACGAAATTTCAAAAAAAAAAAAACACAGCTTCTAGAACATTTTGGTAAAATTTCGAACGACTTTCCAAGAACCTTCGTATCGCCCATTTGCTCTGAAGACCACAACAAACAAATTATGACAAAATGACGATTAGCAAAAAAAAAATTGTTCGGTCCTTGGCATGCAACTTTTATTTCAACAAAATTAAAAACAATTCTAAATTTTTAATTATAGGTTATATTCTATATTTCCGTTCGAAAAAACAAATATTTATTACAAGTCCGAATTTAAACGATTTCACATTTGATAGCCAGATTTACAACCCCAAATTAAGGATGAATTGCTGGAAAACTTTGGTATTTAAATAAAATCCCGAAATCGACAATTGAAATAGTTTTAAAAATGTTTCAGCCGAATTGGATTATATTGTCGTGGATAATAATTTTGTTCTTCATCGCAACGGTAGCTGCAATTGGAAGTCGTTATGAATTTGTATTCGAAAATGACAAAGTCTTCGATGTCTGTCCGGATGAAGAAAATTCCAATGGTGTCCATGATTTATTCGATATATCCGGTGTGTCGTTTGAATTCAGTGAGGGAAGTATCCATATATCGGGAGATCTGACCTGTGTTTGGGAGGGCGTAGAACCTGGCGATAGGATTGAGGTAAAGGGGCAGGAGGGGGATTTTTTTAAGAAACTCAGTATTCTATGTGTAATTTATTTTCAGAACCGCATAGAACTATTTAAGCTGGTACGCAGCTCCTGGCAACCCACCCCCTTTTCGATGTCCACAACCAATTTTTGTGAGTCGTTTTTCAGTGAGAAATACCTCTTCTACCAGGTGTGGTCCAAGTACATTGTGGAGAGTGATCGCCAGTGTATAACCACCTATAAGGTAAAAGAAATTATAAAAAAATTATTACTAAAAATTTAATTAATTTATTTAATATTGAATTAATTTATTTTAATTTATCTTAATTGGATTAATTAAATATAAAATTAATGAAGAAGTTATTGTCGATTAAAAAATAATTGGAATATTAAATTAATTCAAAAGTTAAAAAATTCAATTTTTTAATCAAAATTTTTATTAATTAAAATTAAGTTAATTAAATATTGAACTATTTTAAGATTAATTAACTTAAAATTAAATTAATTAACAGAAAAGGTAATTTAAAAAAAATTATTAAAAAATATTATTATTATTATTATTATTATTATTATTATTATTATTATTATTATTATTATTATTATTATTATTATTATTATTATTATTATTATTATTATTATTATTATTATTATTATTATTATTATTAGTATTATTATTATTATTATTATTATTATTATTATTTTTATTATTATTATTATTATTATTATTATTATTATTATTATTATTATTATTATTATTATTATTATTATTATTATTATTATTATTATTATTATTATCATTATTATTATTATTATTATTATTATTATTATTATTATTATTATTATTATTATTATTATTATTATTATTATTATTATTATTATTATTATTATTATTATTATTATTATTATTATATTTTTTTTATTTATTTATTTTTATTTTTTTAATTTTTTTGTTGTCTTTTTTTGAAAATTAATTTTAGCACGTTTTCCACCTCTTACCCTATGACATCGACACCATATTGGATTACCCCATCAACATGGAGGGTCGCCACAAAGTCGTGGTCCACTTTACAGCCTTCGATGAGAACAATCAAAAGCGTCCCAATGTGGGTTGTTTTGAAATTCACGGGGAATTTTTCAGGGCGAAATAATATTGAAAAGTAAAAAAAAACGTTGGAAATGTTAACGAAATGAATTTTGAAAAAAATATTAAATGAAATAATTGCTGTATTGAAAATGTGCTTTTGAGGTTTTGAAAGGGAGGACTCTAAGGCTGCAAAAAAGTTCTCTGGGCGAAATGCCTTTGCGATTTCCTGGGTAAAATTCAGCCTTAGCCATGATTGTCCATCCATGGACTATTAAATTTGTGTGCAGCGCCTTAATGTATGCTACAAAATTTTAAAAATAATGGATATTTCGAGATTTTTTCCAACTTCCTTTGAGGTATGTAAGGAGGATTTTCAAAAGATATTTTTACAGCTTCCTTTGAGGAAGGCATTGATTTTTCAGAAATTGCGGATTTTTTAAAGATTTTTTTATCTACACCGAGGTTCATTGTCATGTTTTTTTTTCTCAATTTTTCTCTTCTATCCTCCTCGAAGACCTCAGGTTTGTTTTTTTTTAACAGTTTTTGCTAGACTCCTTTTTTACAGATTTTTTCTAGACTTCTCTCGAGACTAAAAGAGTAGATTTTTGTAGCCTAAAGCCTTCAAGGCCCACAAGCGTGGATTTTTTAGTTTTTTTTTTTTCGAAAATTATGCTTGCCCCAAGGAGTGGATTTTTTAAAGATTATTGCAGAATCCTCCAAAGACCAGAATCCGGCAGGGTTTTTTTTTTACTTTTTTTCCAAGAATTCTTTATAGACCTTAAGGTGTGGACTTTTTAAAGATTTTTCCAGAATTCTTTAAAGGTCTCAAGGCGTGGATATTTTAAAGATTTTTCCAGAATTCTTTAAAGGTCCTAAGGAGTAGATTTTTTAAAAATTTTTCAAAAATCCTTCAAAGGCCCCAATGCTTGAATTTTTTAAAGATTTTTTCCAGAATTCTTCAAAGGCCCCCATGCTTTTTCCAAGAATTCTTTATAGACCCAAAGGCGTGGATTTTTTAAGATATTTCCGGAATTCTTTAAAGGTCCCAAGGAGTGGATTTTTTAAAGATTTTTCCGGAATTCTTTAAAGGTCCCAAGGCGTGGATTTTTTAAAGATTTTTCCGGAATTCTTTAAAGGTCCCAAGGCGTGGCTTTTTTAAAGATTTTTACAGAATTCTATAAAGGCCTCAAGGCGTAGATTTTTTTAAAAAAAATTCCAGAATTCTTTAAAGGCCTCAATGCGTGGGTTTTTTAAAAAAATTTCCAGAATACTTTAAAGGCCCCGAAGGAGTGGACTTTTTAAAGATTTTTCCAGAATACTTTAAAGGCCCCAAGGCATGGACTTTTAAAATTTTTTTCCAGAATACTTCAAAGGCCCCAAGGCATGGACTTTTTAAAAAATTTCCAGAATACTTTAAAGGCCCCAAGGCGTGTTTTTTTAAAGGTTTTCTTTTAGAATCCTCCACAGACCAGAGGCGTGTTTTTTTAAAGGTTTTCTTTTAGAATCCTCCACAGACTAGAGGCGTGCATTTCTAACCTTCTCCAAGGCCCAGAATTTTTTATACTCCTCCAAAGCCTTAAGGGTTGGTTTTTTTAAAGGTTTTTTCTAACCTCCACGAAGGTCCAAAGGCTTAGATATTTTAAGTATTTCTTTCTACCCCCTTCCAAAGCCCGGAAGTGTGAATTTTTTAAAGATTTTTTCTAACCTCCTCCATCGACCAGACTTTTTTCTAGGCTGCTCCAAGGCCTTAAGGGTTGTTTTTTTAGATATTTTTTTCAAGCTTCCACCAAGGTCCAAAGGTTTTTCTATCCTCCGCCAAAGCCCAGAAATGTGGATTTTTAAAAGATTTTTTTCTAACCTCCTCCAACGACCAGACTCTTTTCTAGTCTCCTCCAAAGCCCAGAGATGTGAAATTTTTAAACATGTTTCTAACCTCCTCCAAAGAATAGACATTTTTTAGGCTGCTCCAAGTCATTAAGACGTGGATTTTTTTAAAACCTTCAAACGAACAGACATTTTTCTAACCTCCTCAATAGGCCAGACTTTTTTGTAGGCTGCTCCATGTCCTTAAGGCGTGGATTTGTTAAAGACTTTTTCAAGCCTTCTTCGAGGTCTAAAGGCGTGGATTCATTGAAGATTTTTCTAGACTTTTTCAAGCCTTCTTCGAGGTCTAAAGGCGTGGATTCATTGAAGATTTTTCTAGACTTTTTCAAGCCTTCTTCGAGGTCTAAAGGCGTGGATTCATTGAAGATTTTTCTAGACTTTTTCAAGCCTTCTTTGAGGTCATTTATAATAGAAGACCTCTCAGAGATCCTCTTCCGTGAAAAAGAGGTCAGCTACAATTGTAGTCCACTAAGAGCTATCTTCTATTAAAGACTTCTTCTATAGAAAGCATCTCGGAGGTTTTTGGAAACGGACGTTTTTCTACAGATTTTTAAGAGGTCTACTTCATTGGAGACCTATCTCATATGTCTGATTCAATAAGAGGCAACTTACAGATTATTTGCCTATAAAAAATGCAAAACGCCTATTGTTTGCAGAAGAAGTCTCGAAGTATTCTTCCTATAGGAAACCCTAAGACCTCCCTCTATAGGAACCCTCTCAGAGGTGTTGGAAAACGCCTTCAAGGTATATTGGTCTATTAAAGTCCTTTCAAAGGCTTCTGTTAAAGGTATTCGATCTCTAGAAGACCTTCTAAAGATCCTCGGCCTCTCTTATACCCCTTTCTTTCTCTGAAGGGCTTATTTGAGGGCCTTTGGTTGAAAAAAAAAAAAACCTTAAAGAACTTCCATCGAGAGGGCACTTCTCAAAGTTATATTGCCTATAAAAATACTTCCTGTGATCATCTGCCTATTGAAGACCTCCTGATGATTCTTGATCCTTAGAAGCCTTTTTTTGGACCATAGAAGGCCTCATAAATGTCTTCCGTTTCCAGAAGACCTCTATGTGATCTTTTGTCAATAAAAAAAGACCTGATGTTGGTTTTCCATACATTAAATATCTTTTTGAAGGATTTTCTTAATGCCTTCCGTCCATAAAAGAACTCTTAAAGATTTTCCGTTAATGAGACCTTCTTTAAATATTTTTTCTCTTCGCTTCTGAAATTCTGACGAGGAGAAATTTTCATAATTTCAATAATTATCAATTTTTATCTTCTTTTTTTTAATTTTACGTGTATGAAAAATCCGACTCAAATACCTGCCCTCCCCCACTGCCATTTTCTGACAAATCACCATGAGGAAGTCATCCACTGTCATGGTTAGCTAAATTCTAAACTAGAACTTTAACACCTTGATATTTGCTAAGCGATAAACCCACTTCTAACCATGTCAATGGGCGGTATCCCACGTCGATGCAAATCAGGTCAAAGTTATGGCAAAGAAAATAAAATGTTAGAACTTTTTTTGGCACCCCTTGGCGAAATGCCGTCTTTTTGGCATAACATTGCAAACCTTCCACATTGGAGAGTGAGGTATAAAAGCCACCTCCCGTGACTTCTAAAATCAGTGCAAATTCACACCTTGCAACATTTCCAACTCTAACTCTTCCCCAAAAAACTTGAAATGTTTTTGCTTTTAATTTTCGCCGTCCTGGTGGGACACATCTCGTGTGCCAGTCGTATCATTGGTGGGCAATTTGCCACTCCCGGGCAGTTTCCGCATCAGGTCTCGCTACAGCTGAATGGTCGTCATCACTGTGGAGGTTCCATCATCTCGGAAACTTTCATCGTCACCGCCGCCCATTGTACCATCAATCAAAACCCGGCCCTCATGAAAGTAGTGGTTGGCACAACCGATCTGGTGGCCGGCAATGGCAAAACTCTCAACGCAGCCCAATTCATTATCCATCCCCAGTATAATCCACAGAGTCAAGATTACGACATGTCTCTGATTAGGCTGGCCGAACCTTTGCAACTGGGCACAACGGAAGTGGACAAAATTGAACTGGCTGCCTCGGATGCCAATTTTGCTGCCGACACCTTGGCCACCATCAGTGGTTTTGGAGCTATCAACGGCAATTTGCAATTGCCCAATAAATTGAAATTCGCCCAGGTTCAGTTGTGGAGTCGTGACTACTGTAATCCCCAGAATATTCCCGGAATTACCGATCGCATGATTTGTGCTGGCCACCCTAGCGGACAGGTGAGTGCCTGCCAGGGTGACAGTGGTGGCCCTTTGACTGTGGAAAATAAACTGTTCGGTGTCGTGTCGTGGGGTTTCGGTTGCGGTGCTGAGGGCAAACCGGCCATGTACACGTATGTGGGTGCCCTGCGTTCTTGGATCAAGCAGAATTCGGGAGTTTAGAAAAAATTGGTTTCGAGAGAACTCAAAATGATTTTTTTCATAAAATTTAAATACTATCTTGGAAATATTTTAATTTAAATAAAATTTCAATTTTGGCATTATTTTGGAGAGTTTTATTTATCAGAGTATTCTTGGATTTAAAATGGGTCCGAAGACCTTCCAGAGGTCTTTTATAGACAAAAGACCTTAGAGAGGTCTTTTAGGAACCGAAGATTGCAATTGGTCTTCTATAGACCAAAGACTTTTAATGGGTCTTCCGCAGAGCAAAGACCTTTAACAGGTCTGCTATGTACCGCAAGCCTTTAACATTCCTTCTATAGACCGATGTCCTTTAAAAGCTCTTCTATTGACCACAGACCTTTAAATAATTTTCCACACACCGAAGACCTTAAGAAGACGGACCAAAGGTTTCTCATGTCCCGAAGTTTTCAAAAGGTCTTCTATGGGCCGAACCACGTTAAAAGGTCTTATGTGGATCAAAGACCTTCAAGAAAATGTCCATGAACCGATGACCTTTAATAGGTCTTCTGTAGGTCGAAGTCTTTTTAGAAATGGGCCGAACATCTCTAGGAAGTTTTCCACAGACTGAAGGCTTTTAAGAGGTCTTCCATGGACCGTGGACCAAAGGCCCTTAAACGTATTTTATAGGTGGAAGTCTTTTCTTCGTAAACCTCAAAGGTTTTCTGTAGACACAAAGGATTTTAAGAGGTCTTTCAAATTTTAAGAGGACCTCCATAGACTAAAATCTTTGGGTGGTGTGATATGAACCGAAGATCTTTAAGGGGTGTTTCGAAGACCTTTAAGAGGGCGTCTTTGGCCCAAAGACCTTCAAGAGGTCTTCAATAAACCGAAGACTTTTAAAAGTCTTTTATGGAATGAAGTCCATTAGGAGGTCTTCTCTAGACAGAAGACCTTTAAGGGGTTTTCTGGAAACTGAAGATCTTTAAAAAGTCTTCTTTCAACAAAATACCTACAAGAGGTCTGCTTTGAACCTCAAAAATAAGCGATTTGAGGCCTGAAGGAAGCTTTAAAGATTCTGAAAAAAATCCACGATTTTGGACCTTAACAAATCTTTGAAAAATCCAAAATTTGGGACGGTTTAAACGGAGGTATTGATTTTTTTTAAATCCATGACTGCCTTGACAATTTAGGGACTTCAGGAAGCCTTTCTTAATTTTTTAATCCCCAATTTAGTATCTTGACTGTGCTATACAGATTCTTAAAAAAAGACGGTCATAAAGGAGCTTTGCAAAATCTTTTTTATTATCCACGATGTTGGGACTTGAGGAAGCCTTCAAAATTTCTTAACAAATCTTCAATTTAGTCCCTTAAGGATTCTTTAAAAAATCCACGATTGAGTACCTTGAGGACGCTTTTAAAGCCTTTAAAAATTCAATTTAGGCATAGTAATACAATTTTTCAAAAAAAGTCCACAATTTAGGGACCTTAAGGAGGCTTTCAAAAATCCACGATTGAGTACCCTAAGGACGCCTTAAAAGCCTTTAAAAATTCAATTTAGGCATAGATAGAAAGTAATACAATTTTTCAAAAAAAAGTCCACAATTTAGGGACTTGATGATGTCCTTAAAAATTCTCTTAAATCTCTTAAAAAATCTGCGATTTAAGTCCTCGGGAAGGGCTTGTAAAATCCCATAAAAAAATCTACAACCTAATGCCTTGAGGGAGGTTTGAAAAACCTAAAAAAACACTTTGTAAAAATCCGCCATTTAAGGTCTATGGTTGAATTTAAAAAAATTTAAAAAAAATCCATAATTTTGGTCGGAAGTATTGAAAATTTTTCCAAAAATTTTTACTGGATGTATTGAACATTCTTTAAAAAGTCCACGATTGCCTTGACAATTTAGGGACTCAAGGAAGTCTTTAAAATTTCCTTATTTATTTTTTTTAATCCACAATTCAGTGTCTGAAGGGGGCCATACAGATTCTTAAAAAAAACCGGTCGCGAAGGACCTGCTAAAATCTTTAAAATTATCCACGAAATTTATTTGATTGAGGTAATAAATTTTTTATTATTTAGGGTATTAAAGAAGGTTTTATAAAATCGGTATTTAAAGTCGAAAGGTGGCTTTAAAAATTCATTAAAAATTCTACGACTTTTTCTTGAGGTCTTGAAAAAAGAATCCCAATAAAGGGCCTAGATGGAGACTTTTATATAAATTCACGATTTTGGGACTTTAAAAATCTTTGAATGTCCTATATTTCGACTCCTGACTCCGGGTTAAAGGCCCTGGAAAGGATTTAAAAATCCTGTAAAATTCCATGATTTAGGGCTTTGAGGAAGTTTTATAAATTTCTTACAACATCTGCAATTTAAGGCCCTGTAGGAGGCTTAAAATTTGCAATTTAGGCTTCTTCACAAAAATTAAAATTATGCTCTTAAGGATTATTTAAGACGTCTCTAAGTGATTGATGGTCGTCTTTGAAAAAAATACCCTTAAAATGCTCTCTCTTTTAAATCTATTTTCTATCGCCTCCCCCTTTGAAACCCCATCCCCCCACCATATATCCTTAACATTCCCGTTCATTATTTATTTTTAGCATTCCAGTCAATCTTCGTTTGGCTTGGATATACACAAACGGCCTAGTTAACTAACCTTCTCCTTCTCCATCGGCTCACTCCGATTTCAGGCCATCCCTCACCCACCCACACACATAGACATCCATTGGCGATATGGCTGGCTTATCAGCCATGTTGGCATAAAACGTGCTAACATGTCAGTCAGCCAGTCTAACGCGGCAGCTGTCTGAAATGCGAATAAACAACTTGCACTCAACACCCAACTTTGCACGATTTTGTCTCGTGTTAGCCATTAATCGGAGTAACCAAATCAATAAAACAAAAAATAAACATTTTCGAATCGTTTATTGTGATTTTGTTGTTTATGAAGAACGAAAGACATGGTCGCCGGAGATAAGAACCCCTCCCCCTTTTTTGAGGCAATGCATTAGTGATCAGTCCCTCTTAGTGTAGGAGGGAGGGGCTTGAAGAGCCAGCGAGTGACTCGGCAAGACACAAGTGTCTACAAGTGTTATTTTCAGGCCACAATGGCTGATGATTTATTGGCCATGGTTAAAAATAACTGAGTGGTAAATATTTCGGAAATTATATTCATATTAATTTATAATTTTTTCGAAATCGTAATTTTCCATTTTTAGCTATGGAATTTTAAATTGAAAACATGATTAAATTTGCAACTATAAAAAAACACCACGTGAGTAATGAAAATAAATTGAAATTGGCAAGGAGATATGGATGAGGCCCATTTGCATGGCAACCATAAAAAAAAATTGGCGAAAAACATACGATTTTCTATGGGCGTAATTATGTGATTAATAATAGTTTCCAAATATTATCAGGATAATAGTTTCGAAATGGGAAAAATTTAATATTTTCGCTTAATATTTTCTATGATGGATTACAGCAATTATTTGGTAACAAATTGAATATTGTTTGAGTCATCAGGACAATATTTTGGAACGGATCCTTAAAAAAAAGGATGAAGCTATCCTCTAAGCTTTTTCTAGGCTTCGCTAAAGTTGTAAATATTGGGGTTTTCATAGAAGTTTTGAAGTCTGAACTCAGGACCTTATTTTAAAAATGCCGAACTGAAGCTTCTTTCAAAGGCCTTATTAAGCCCCAAAATTGTGGAGTGTTTCAGAATTTCTAAAAGACTCCCTGAAGACCCTAAATAATGGGTTTAAAAACCTTTTCTTAACGCCTCCCTTTAAGGCAAGGTACCTATTCAAATAAAATAAAACCCCCTCATGTGCTTAAATCGTATACCCAACATTTTTGAAGCCGTATTCCATACCTTTAATAGTGGATTTTTAAACATTTTTTCTCCACAAGCACCCACTAATATTTCCTAAATATTGTCCCCATTTCAATTTTTCTCTTCTTCGTCGTCTAAACCTACCCTTAGCTTTCCAAAAATATTTTTCGTTTAATTTTACAAAAATTTTGTTTTCATTTTTTGTGAAATGTCCCTTGTGACCCGTTCCCGTTATCGTCCCATAACCCGTTTGGGCAATTGGTTCGAGGACATCTGCTTGGAGGAGGATAAAATCAAGCAATTCACCCAGAAACGTGACAATGGCGAGCTGTTGGTGGAGAAGACACGGAAATTATTTCAAAATTTCCACAAAGAAATCAATATGGAGGCACCAGGAGAAACGATCAGTTTTGGCGGCATTGTACAGCTTATGCCGGCTCAGATGCGCCTGTGTCAATATCCCGCCTATGACAAACATCTAACGCTATCCGTTGTCATTAATGAGCGAGTGGTGAGGCGTAGCCAAAAAATGAACGAAGAATGTGAGCTGACAATTGCCCCATCACTGAAGCCGTGTATTCGTAACTCATTTCGCATTATGGCGCCCAACGAGGCGGAGGATGGGAACGAGAGTAAACATGAAAGTGAAATGGTCTTGAAGTATGGTCAACCATTTCGGCTGCAATGTGTCAATGATCCAGAGAATCCTTTGTTGTTGTACACGGCCCAAAAGTCATGGGACCTTACCTCCGTTATAGCCAACTCATTTGAATCGAGGAAGTTTGGAGAGATTAATTTGACATTGGGGTTGTGTTCGAAAAAGGTAGGATTGCTGGGAAAATAAAAGATTCCCAGAATAATGTACCTGTGGAAATTTTCAGAATTGTGGTCCTGGCAAACAAATTCCCGCAGCCTATACCAATTGGTATTGCCAGCACATTGATCCTCATTTAAGGTTCGAGACGAATGGCACTCCCTTGCCGGTAAGTAAGAGAGAGGGAGAGAGAGAAATACCAATAAAAACTCTTTTCGCCCACCCTAGAGCAACGAACCCCTCGTCATAACCCACATGGCAACCAATCGCAATCTGGCCGCTGAAAATGTAATGATTCAGACTCTCTTTGGCCCGGAATTTCTTGTTTCCGTACAAAATTATAAAAACATTTTCAAACGCGAAACATGGCAAAATTTGTGGATAATCAGCAATGGACACCAGTTCAAATAAATATCGTAAATTTTGTTGAGAATCTAGAGGCTTAGTCTCGCTGGCATAATTATTAGTCGCCAACAATCTTTGGAATAAATTCCGCTAAAATTATAACCCTTGTTTTGATTGTTCTCGGCATATGGATGGGGGTTGTGAACCCATAAATCACGCCCAAATCAGGCGATTATGAAACGTGATATTTTCTGTTGTGTTTCGCATCAAACACGTGAAAGCCGTTCTGTCACCCAGTTATGTCAGTACAAATGTCAGCCATAATACTTCATTGTTTATGGATGAAGGTGAGATAAGCGCAGCAGACAAATAATGACTCGGCTGCATGATATGTTCGAGAGGTTTGAGATATTTTTGGAAAATTTGTATTATTTTGTTTTGGATTTCACTGCAATGTTGGCTGAAATGATAAGAGGCAGATAATGTTCCCGTGTGTTTTTGTTCTGAAAATCGTGATGAAAGAATCAAATAAAAATAGGCTTATTATTCTTTCAAAAAAAAATATGAGAAAAATTTACTATTTTGATTTTTTTTAGAAAATTCACAACTTAAGGCTTCAAGAGATCTGAAAAACAATTTCTTGAAGAATCCACCATTTATATCCTTAAAAGCGCCTCCCTGGATTTAAAAATGCTACAATTTTTATCTTTTGACGGAAATTTCCTAAAAAATTCTTAAAAATTCCAAAATTTATAATTTTGAGGGCGATTTCAAAAATTCTCCAGTAATCCATTATTTAAGGTCTTGGAGAATTAAATTTTGAAAAAAAAAGTGTGAGAAACTACTTTTCTAGGCCTTCAGAAAATCGTAACTGATCGAAAGACTAAATTAGAATCAATGCCCAGACAAAACGGCTGAAGCTAGAATTTTGAAATTTTGCTCGAGGGTCCGTCTTGGTGCTAAGGATAGGTTTTATGGCAAATTCGTACTAAAAGAGCACGAAAAATACTAAAATGTACAAAAATTTGAATATAATACTTTCTATTTGACATACGAAATGAGCTAGAATGAAATTTGGAACGAGAGTGACTTATGGTGTGGCGGAGAAAGGCACCAAAGGGTTTTTTGGATTTTTAGTACTAAAATGTACTAAAAATTTAATACTTTCTATCAGACCAGCAGAATTTTTGAAATTTAGAAAAAGAGTGACGGATGGAGTGCAGGATAGGTGTACCAAAGGATTTTTGGAAATTCGAACTTTAAGGTTACGAAAAGTACTAAAATGGTACTTTAAGGTTACGAAAAGTACTAAAATGGTACTAAATTTTTGAAGTGGTATAATTTGTTTTGACCGTAACAGCTAAAAACTTGAAATTTTGTATGAGAATCAAAATTGGAAAGTAAATTTGATACATGAAGGTGGTCTTGGAAATGTGTACTAAGTGTGACAACTGTACTAAATGGTACTAAATTTGGAATAGTTTGGTTTAGGGTTAAAGAATGAAGCTGGATTTTTGAAATTTTGTATTGGAGTGCCTCTTGGTGGTAGGTGTGGGATAAAGATGTGATTTGAAAATGTGTACAAAAGTGCACGAAAAGTACTAAATAGTACTATATTTGTTACAATTTATAATTGGGAGAACAGATAGTGCTTAAAATCTGAAATTTGATATTAGGGTCGCTGTTCATTTGTAGCCTGGATATATATGGATGTGCTTTCGGAAATGTGTTCTATAATTGTACGAAAAGTACTGAATGGTACTATTATTGGTATTGGGTGAAGGGATAGGGGAAAAATTCTAAAATTTGTTATTTACATTGCTAATGGCATCTGTGTTTGAGATGCGGCGGTGGTTTGGAAATGACTCCTATATTTGTACGAAAAGTACTAAATGGTACTTAATTGGAAATATGGCGAAGGAATAGAGCTAAAATACCGAAATTTGATATTGCGGTCTCTGTTGATATCTGGGATCGAGATATGGAGTTAATTTGGAAATTTTGTACTAAAATTGTACGAAAAGTACTGAATAGCACTATATTTGGTATTGGATGAAGGGATAGAGATAACGTTCTAAAATTTGATGTTTAGATTACTGATGGTATCTGTGTTTGAGATTCGGCTGTGGTTTGGAAATGGATCCTATATTTGTACGAAAAGTACTAAGTAGTACTAAATTGGGTTTTGATTGAAGGGATTGAGCTAGAATCCCAAAATTCGATATTGAGGTCTCTGTTGATATCTGGAATTGAGATATGGAGGTAGTTTCGAAAATATGTACTAGAATTGTACAAAAAGTACTGAATGGTACTATATTTGGTACTGGGTGAAGGTATAGAGATTAAATTTGATATTTAGATTACTAATGGTATCTGTGTTTGAGATCTGATGGTGGTGGTCTGGAAATGTGCCCTATATTTGAACGAAAAGTATTAAACGGTACTAAATTTGGTGTTTGCTGAAGGGATAGAGCAATCAATCTCTGTTGGTATCTGAGATTGAGTTATGAAGTTGGTATTGGAAATCGATACTAAAATTTAGATTAGATTCCTGTTTGAGATTTGACGTTGGTTTGAAAATACGGAAAGTACAAAATAGTACTAAGTTTGGTATTGTGTAAAGTAATAGGGCTGGAAGCTTCAAATTCGATAGTAAGGTTTCTGTTGCTATCTGGAATTGAGATATGAAGGTGGTTTTGGAAATGTGCACTATAATTGTACAAGAAATACTAAATGGTACTAAATTTTGTATTGGATAAATGGATAGGGCTGGAATTCTCAAATTGACTATTGAGGTCTATGTTGGTTTTTCTTTTTTTGAATTTAGATATGGGTGTGGTTTTGGAAATATAATTGCACGAAAAGTACCAAATGGTACTAAATTGGGCATAGGGTGAAGGGATAGGGCTGGTATCCTCAAATTTTATTTTGAGGTCTCTATTGGTATCTGGAATTGGGATATGGAGGTGGTTTTCAAAATGGGTACTATAATTGTACGAAAAATACTCAATAGTACTAAACATGGTATTGGATGAAGGAATAGAACTGAAACTCTAAAATCTGAAATGGATGTCACTGTTGGTGCCTATGGTTGAGAGAAGCAGCTGTCGTTTTGGTTTTTCGAAATTTTGACACTTTGTGGGGAGGTTCCAGAAAGAGTAGACAGATATTGTCCCTTATCACACATGACCCAGCAGTGATGTAAATATAAGGATTTGTAAAGTTTGAAGAAAATATCGATTCCAAATGCGCTGAATCGGATTTGGTCCAAAGACATAGGGTCTAAAACCTTTATTTCGATGAGGCACGATTTGTCCGAAGTGGCTGAGGGCGTTATTATAAAAAATTCTATTAAAAACCATGATTTGTGGCATTAAACATTTCCTACTAAATCTTCGAATTGGTATTTTAAAACTTTTTAAATATTCTCGAAATTTTCTTAAAATTCACTAATTATTGCTTTGAAAAGTACTGTAGGCAATCCCGCACAATGAAAAATTCTACAAAAAAATCATATTCTTTTTTTAAAAAAAAAAAAAAAAAAAAAAAAAAAAAAAAACTTACGATTTTGAAAAAAAAAAATCCTTAATCCACAATGCAGATCATTGCAAAATCAACAAATTGAGGTCTTGAACAATTTTTTGAAAATCCACTTATTTAGGTATCGAAAAATCTTAAAAAAAACTATTTTTGACCTCAACATTTGACCGTTAAAAAAGTCAACAATTTTTGTCATTTTCAAATGTTTACAATTTTTACAAAATCGACGATTTAGAACTTAAAAAGAACCGCGATTTAGGTTCTTAAAAACTGCAAAAAATAACCACGATTTTATGCCTTGAAAAATTCCTTAAAAAATTCTGACAACCCATGATTTTTGGTCTTAAAAAGCTAAAAAAAAAACTTAAAAAAAATCTTCGATTTTAAAATCCAGAAGCAAATCGGGACTGGCTTAAAAATAAGCAGAATTAATCATGAGGTAGGATTAAAAAATATTAAAAGTTCAATATTCAAGACCTTGTGGAGGCCTTAAAAAATTAAAAAAAAAAAAACAGTAAAGAAAGGCTTAAAGTCGGGCGGGGCCGACTTTATGATATCCTACACCACTGTGCTAATTTAGTAGAGCTCCGCATAACAATTAAAAGTTTTTATGATTTTAATTATAATTTAAAATCCGAAGCATTTGTATCTTTTAAATTCGGACTTGTATTGCCCATTTGGTGCACAATTAATTTGAAATCGGATAAAGATATATATGGGAGCTATATCCAAATCGGAACCGATCTCGATAAAATTTGGCAAAGATATTTCTGAGCTGTATTTTATATATTTCCCTAAATATCGTTTTTACGGATTGCATATATCATTTCTATCTCATTTCCGTTTGCCTGTTACAAACAAATGCACAAAAATATAATACCCTGACCACCTTGTGGTGTAGAGTATAATTACTTTGAGCATTGAAAGGGCCAAATCCATTCAAAATCCACGTTTTAGAACCTTGAGATAGACTTTAAAAAATCTTAAAAATATTTTGATATCAGGCTTTTAGAGAAGTTTTAAAAGTTCTTAAAAAAATCCACGATGTCAGGCTTATAGAAAGGCTTTAAAAATTCTTAAAATAAATTCACGATATAAGGCCTCGAGGGAGGATTAAAAAATTCCCTAAAACTCTAAAGGACTTGAATGAAGATTGAAAAATTCTTCCAAAAATCCATGATATAAAGATATCAAAAATATTTAGGCCTCTTTTTTATGCCCTCCACCATTCTAGAGGGTATAAAAGCTTTGTCATTCCCTTTGAAACTCCTCGAAATATTCACGATAGACCCTACAAAGTTTTATCTTTTTTTAATTTTATTGAATAAAAGCAAATAATGTCGGATATACCATCAAATTTTAGAATAAGTTTAGATTTGTTCGAATTGGTCACCTTTGGCACGAATTATGGCCTGCAAACGGGCAATGAAACCGTCACACGCTGCCCAAAATGTTGCGGTATTTCGGTCCATTCCCGGCGAAGCTCTTGCTTGAGTTGATCGACACTTTGGTATTTTTTAGTGTCAACCTTGCTTTCCCAAATACTCCAGACACAATAGTCCAACGGATTGGTATCCGGAGATTTTGGTGACCATTGTGCGCTGGAAATGAAGCGAAGAACC